CTGACCTATATCGTTGGGTCGAATATCTTGTTCCTTTTTTGACAACAATAAACGAGTGCAAGTGAGAGGCTGAAGTCAATATTAAGTAAATAGAACTCAAATTTTGGGTAGTATTTTTTCTCCGTGTAGGCTCGGTATAAACGGCAGTTTCCTACGATGGTTCGCATGCTATCTATCTGATCGTCAGTTGGAAATTGCAATCGACGACTGCCGATCTCCTTCGTTCCCTGCCACTTCGGGTATTCCGCAAGGTAGCCACCTTTCTTGTGTATTTCAACGACGTCAACTTCGTCCTCGACGGTCCACGACTGTCGTTCGCAGACGACATGAAAATCTACCTCCGAATCCGAGCCATCGCTGACTGCCACCTTCTCCAACTCTAACTCAACGCTTTTGCTAATTGGTGCCAACTGAACCGCATGGTTGTAAATCCAACAAAATGTTCAGTAATCACGTTCTCACGGAAGAAACATCCAATTACATTCAGTTATATCCTAGAAGGCGTTGACGTACATCGTGTGAATCACCATTAAGGATCTAGGAGTCATCTTAGATTGTCAACTCACATACAGCCAGCATATCTCGTACGTGATCGACAAGGCATCCAGAACGCTCGGCTTCATTTTCAGGATAGTTAAAAGTTTCACGGACAGCTACTGTTTGAAGTCGCTTTACTTCTCCCTCGTCCGGTCGGTGTTATAGACTACTGCTGCCCTGTATGGAATCCAAATTACCAAAACAGTGTACAAAGAGTAGAGTCTATTCAACGACGATTCATCTGATTTGCCCTACGACGTTTGCTTTGGAGGGATCCTCATCGCCTTCCAAGCTTCGAAAGTCGGTGCCAGTTAATTCTCCTGGATCCTTTGTGGAGTCGAAGAGATACGACAAGGGCCCTGTTTGTGGCAGACATTCTACAGGGCAGAATCGATTGTCCTTCTATTCTACAACAAATCGACGCTAAAGTTCAACCACGAGCACTCCATAACAACGCAATGCTAAGGATAACTTTTCGTCGTACAAACTATTGTTCGTATGGTGCTATCAATGGGCTACAAAGGGTTTTCAATCGTGTTGCTTCCTTATTTGGTTTTCACTTGGCACGCGAGACGCTGCGTCAGAGATTCCGTGATGTATTTTTCATTAGAATTAGGAATTAAGTTGGACTTCACGACCTATGCAGCTGGTTTATCTAGACTATATTGTATTTCCTAGTATTGCTCAATCCATCATTGGGACTAAACCCAGTCTGTTGATGTAGAATCAAATAAACAAATAAACGTAGTGACGTTTCAGCGACATCCGCGTTGAGGAAGGCTCTTTTGATCGATTTCAGCTTTTTCAATAATTCGCTCGTCTGCCAACAAGGGAGGTTCGATGCAATCTGGTGAATGCTCTTAGGCCTTAGGGACGTACCCGCTTGAGCAGCGGTTTCGACGTTATCAGAATCAAGTATGTTTTCCCAATCAATGCTTGACAGCATATCGGCAATGCTACGATGATCGGCTTTCCGAAAATTGTAAGAAACCGTAGTGGAGATGACTTCGAAATCCCGAATGTGATTGTTTTCAACAGTAATAACCAAAGGAGGATGATGAGCAACTTCCTTTACGAGTGGAAAAGGAGCCGACGAGATCAATGGAGCCGTATCATGAGCGCCTTCGAAACAAAGGTTTAGGCTAAGATTGTTCTCGCTAACCACGGAATTGATTTGAGATAACGTCGCTGCGCTATAGCTGTCGAGAAGGCTAATTGAAAGGCTAGAATGAAAAGCAGAACCTGCAGGGTCCGGAAAGAGAAAGCTGCGAAACACCGGCAAGATTAAAGTAGCCCAGAACAATAATCTCATCAATAGGTGATGCACAATCCATTATGGTGAAAACGGATCGACAATGAGTTTCGATAAGTTCAATGTCGCAATCGGTCATCGCACCCGACCACACATAAGTACAGTGTGCGATCGCTCAACTTGACAGCGACCCATGCCTGTTCAACGCAGTTCCACATGTCGTGCTCTATGGCTCTCGTTTTCATCTCGGACCGAACAGCAATCAGAACACCGCCACCAGTGGACTTGACTACTGTTCGGATTTCGATCGCAGCGAAATACCTCGTATTCACATCCGAACGCCTGGCTGGAAAGCGTTCAGGAATCTAGTTATGTCTCGGTTAATATTATTTCATCGTAGCAACGGTCCGATACAGGAATGAACGTCAGAGTTCATTCATCTTTTAGTAGTATATGGTGATCACCGACAAACCGACATGAAACTTAAACTTAACTCTTGATCGAGAATCCATAACGACCGATTGAAATGTGCAGCGATCCCATCTGTCAAAACCATAGAAATGTGTTTATCTAGATAAAAATAATTTGTCCGAAATAGATTAGACACGAACCAACTAATAAATTTTGTACGCGTGTTCGTGGCTAGGCTACACAATTTTCGCGAACACGGCGGCAGATGTCAGTTTTGTGCTTTGATCAAAAATTTCTTTGTAATTTGTATGATCATTCATGTCGGTTTGTCGGTGTGGTGATATCCTGTTTTCGGCGTATATCCGTGCTAGGCGATGTCCTTGGAAATCACGGGCGACAGGTAGCAAACGGGTTGGAAGACCCCCTCTGCGCAACCGAGCGCAGGTCCGGAAGGTCTGTGGTGAGCGGAGGCGGCAGATGGCCAGGACTGTGTCATTCTTGGGATTTGTTTGTTTGTTGTTGGCTCTTCTGTACAATATTTTGTGAGAGTCGATATCGTATCTGTTGGATGGAGGAACCGAGCGCGATACAGGTCGCGTAGGCAGAAGAGTGATTATCGACGGAGACATGTTGGAGGTGGTAGATGAATGTGTGTACCTCGGGACATTAGTGAAGTCGGATAACAACTGCAGTAGAGAAATTTTGAGAAGCATACGGCACAAGACCTTGAGGTCTGGTAAACTTCACCCCCGTACTAAAAATGGACCATGCAAAAGATGCTGATTAGAAAGCAACACGAGAGGTAGACAATGCTTGAGGAGGACCTGCAAGCACTGGGAGTTTTCGAAGCTACGTGTTCTTAGGACCATCTTTGGTGGGGTATATGAAAACGGTGTATGGAGGAGAAGGATGAATTACGAGCTGGCGCAACTTTATGGTGAACCCAGTATCCAGAAAGGTGCTAAATACCTGGAAGGGTATAGGCGAACAACAATTGCTTAAAAAATTTGCTCTTGAATTATCGGTTGAAATTGAACTGCGGTGCAAATTTACCTATTTACCATGCCTGAACAGAACAAAGCTTCTCCAGAACAATTTTGGTTTTGGTGCGTACGTCACACGGCAGTACGATGCGCCCTGGTTGAGAAAGTATACCGATTCTTCCGTACTGTGGTTGGTACCGAAGTCATTTCCTTATGTTCCGACAAGCTCCTGACACTCTGGGTTCGCGAGAGCTCATCACACAATGAGAAACTGGAATTAGCGGCCTTACAAAGATACTTAGGATTAGAGAGGGTCTAGTATACTAGACCCTCTCTACTTGGGATCATCCCCACCAACAACTTTAGGACGGAGACATCTGTGAATAATGGAGGTTAGCCGGCGCCGGTGGTGTAGTGGTAAGCGTGACTGCGTTCTCACCCCAATGGGTCTGGGTTCTATCCCAGTCGATGTCGGTGGGATTTTTCTGAGGCATAAAAATCTCTGGTCACGTCTTCCTTCGGAAGGGAAGTAAAGCCGTTGGTCCCGGCCCATGTGTGTTTGATTGAATGGGTGCGATATCCTACGCAGGTGTGGAAGCTGCCTTCCTGCACATTCGATTACCGTCAATGGATGGCAATCGATGTCCGTCGGTGATTGGCGTTGACGGCGACTCTGTAGCTCTTTACTCCTATGAGAAAATCCATAAGCAAACGTCAGACTGTGCGTGAAACATGGTGGGCTATGTACTATCCTTTCACTCCACCGAAAATTCCCATAAGAAACTGCCTATATTTGCTGGAAGAGCAATTTTTTCGACGGTGCCGTCAACGCCAATTGGCACTAAATAGCTTGCGGGACAGAAATCGACGTTAAATAAAGGAAATAAGAAGAAGAAGAACGGAGGTTGCGGTAGGTGACACTGTGTTGTGGTGATTTATTTATTGGATTTATTGTTCCGTTCCTGATAACCTGGGATTAGGAGCTTCCATCAAGCTTACCACAGTGCGTCTCGGTTGCATTTAAATTTTGACAAGAGGCGTGATTAGGCAACTAAGCTAGGCTAACTCCAGAGAACCCAAGATGTATATTAAGAGTATCGCACTTGACTCCAAAGTCCTCTGAACTTGCTGTTCTGGAACTGTAAATGACAAGTGCTTTAATACTTCTTGAGCAAATGTGAAGGTCATTGCGAAATGATGCATTGCCCCACAAACCCGGTATCTGCTGGCTCGTTATCAAGTGTCTGATTAATCGTAGATTAGACAAATGCATTGATTGTAAAAAAAAAATCTGCGCTTCCACATTATCAAGTTCAATTCCTATCAAGGCTCGTTAGTAGATTACCAGCCGTCTTTCGCGCTGGTGCAAAGCTTTCGCTATAGAGTTCTGAGGTATTCTCTTTTCACTTTGTCAGGCAAAATGGTATCAACGGTACGTGCATTGTAAATACTAAAATTATAGTCAGATATAAATATTAAAAAAAAAATCAACCCCGAGGTCGTCTACGGCGTAATTCCGCTCCCCGTGATATTGCACACACGGTCAGCAAATTACATCAGATTCTCTATCTTATCGCAATCTCACACGACATGCTAGTGTGACCCATTTCTCCGGTATCTTGAGCTCTTTTTGCGTCCCAAGCTTGTGGCTATTCTAGCGATCGGCGGTGTGCGAAAACAAGTTTATTTTCTTCCTTATCGCCTCTGCTATAACGGTGGTCAGACCCCTCATCCGTCGTGACGTCGATCGAGCGACACAACAAACAAACACTGGCACTGATTGATAACGCTTTCAATGTTTATTATCCCACCCACAGGTTACCCCACGGCACTCACCGGGCAGCTTTTCCCCCCATCCACCGGATGTTCTGTCGGAGATTGCGGCTGCGACGCAGCTGTTTTCGCTGGATCTCAACGGAGACGACAGCGGCGAGCTTGGCAGCTTGACGTTCCATGCCTCCGGCTTTGGCAATGGTTCGAAAGTAGACGGCAAGGCCAACAGCTTTCTGCTCATGGATGAGAAGGAAAATATACAGCTGAAGTCGGCTGAACATTTCTGCAAGAAGCTGGGAGCACCGGCGGAGGCAAAGATCAAGGTGGTTTCCATTTTCGGCAATACTGGGGACGGCAAAAGCCACACCATGAACCATGCATTTTTCGGTGGAACGGAAGTGTTCAAAACTTCAGCGGAGCAAGTTTCGTGCACGATGGGTATTTGGGCGTCGTTCCATCGGCCTTACAACGTCCTGTGCTTGGATACCGAAGGGTTGCTAGGGGAAACGATAAACGAAAACCGGCAGATGAGAATGTTGCTGAAAGTGCTTGCCGTATCGGATATCGTGATTTATAGGACCAGGTCGGAGCGTTTGCGGACGGACATGTACAAGTTTTTGGGGACGGCTTCGAAGGCATTTTCCAAGTATTTTTCGGGGGCGTTGCAATCTCTGGGCTTATCACTTACGCCACAATCCCTTGGTCCGGCAGTAATCATTTTCCACGAAACGCAGAATACGGAAGTTCTGAAGGAAAACGTCGAAGGGAAAACCGAGGAGGATATTTTGAGAGAAAGTTTTGCCAAACAGAAGTTGGAACTGCAGGCGTTCAGCTCGCTGCGCTACGTTGGAATACAGACTACTCAACCACCGACGAACTACGAACCGCTGAAAATGGCACTGGAGAAAGAGTTGAGAAACACCACCGTTAGGTCTCCCCGGCAGCCCAAGGTGGTCTTTGAGGCCCTGCAGGCCTTGAATCGGAAATTTAATGGAGAGCTATCGTCCCTTCCGAACAACACTTTCCCAGAGCAGTATTTTACCTGTACCACGTTCTGTAAATCCTGCGACGTGCGGTGTCAGCTTTCGATGGGTCATCTGGAAACGAAGGAGGATCACAGGTGTGCCGGACCTTGCAAGTATCAGCATCAGTACGAGAACAAGGTCTACCTGTGCAACAAGTGCCATGTGAACGGACGGCAGGTGGTCGTCAACATCAAAACACAGACCAGCAACGATTCGTCCTGGCTGGGGCTGGCCAAGTACGCCTGGAGTGGATCGGTAATCGAATGTCCTCACTGCGGCGAAATCTACCGTTCCCGGCAGCACTGGTACGGCAACAAATCTCCGGAACAGGCGGCTGTGAGGTAAGTCGAGAAAGAACACTCTTGCGTTTCAGATTTCACTAGAGGTTTTTATTTGGATCACTGGGTGTTTTACAAATGAAGTTCAATTTCGTTGAACTCAGCTTCTCGGCATGGGGTCGGGGAGTTGCTTTTTTTTTGTTTAAATTAACGGCGACGGCGACTGCTGCTGCGGCGTCGACGGGAAGGGGTGCGCGAGGGGGTGCGCGAGGGGGTACGGGTTCGGCTATGGGTTCGGCTTTGTGAGCGGGAACGACGTCGGCGACGACCCATCGCATGGCTGGTTTCCTGGTCATCATTTCTCGACGAACGACCTTGGCGGGATTGTTGCTGGGGTTGAGAAATGGTCCGTTAGGTCGGTTGCCATGGGAATATCGATTGAAACGGATTTTCCAACATAATTGGTTTCGATCGAAATCGGGAATAGCGGGGAACGGTGATTTGGCTGACTTACCATTCTATCCATTTTGGGTTTGATAAATTTGGTTCTGCAGAGAAGTTGAAGTTCGGTCTCGATTCGTGCTTCCACAAGGCTTCGTGAGCTTGGTTTGATTCTGTCTTGAGCTTTGATTTGGCTGTTCTGACTTCCTTCCGGGATGGTTCGAATGATAATGAGCTATTTTTCTGGTACTCAGATGCTTATGCCTACTATGATTTTTTTTGTTGTCGACGCCACAGTTGACGTAGGTCAACAACGGAGGTATACTGTGGTACAGGTGGGCCGTATTATTCAGGAAAACTAGACTACCCGAGCAAAGCTGGAGATCAAATTGAAATCAAAATTTACTGTTATGATGTAACTTAGTTTGAATACTCCAGTTGATCTCATTTTGGTTGACTTAACGGTTAACACAGGAAAAATGAGAGCAAACTTTTACACTGTTGAATCAAATGGAAAACTAATCCTGCTTTTTAATGAAATCAATTTGATTACTCATTTTGCATTCATAATGTTTAACTGAATACGGGCCTGTCGTAAATGGTTAGCATCCATGCTTCTCACGCTGAATGACTGAAAGGCTGAAAGAGTCAAATCTCACGCCGGGCAAGTCACGAATGACCTAAAACGTTTTAAACAAAACAAATAAACAATAATCATTAGTTAAACAACAGATGAACTTAAATTAAATTTAAAAAAAGGCTATACTAATGCAAAAAGAGCACCGAAAGCTCTCAATTAATCTGTACATCTAGAACACTAATAGTGAATTCGATTCCAACCTGGATCGGGTATCAAGATTGGGTCTGCTTGTTTTCTGACAAACGTCAGTTTGATCGTTTGTTTTTAAAACCCAGCTCAGGTTCGAACTGACAAAAAGTTCGGTTTCGCACTGGGTTGGAACTGGTTCCAACCCCGATAATAAACGAATTCGCTATAAGTTGAGAGCACACAATAAGCTAATATGCAATAAGCAATAAGCTTGAAAAGCGAAGAAGAAGAATAATTATTTAGTGTAATACTTTTTCGACCTGAATGTTCACAGAATTTAACTGAAACATCTGGAGCTGGGAATCTTTTGAATACTTGCTGATCAACAAGCCATTTTGGGAGAATACCTGAGGGACCACGTTTGAATCTTTGAACAGGTGAAGATCTTCACCATAATAGAGGATCAAACAAAAACATATCCAGAGAATTTCATTTATATCTTATTTAAAATACGTGAATATGAACGAAGTTCTCTAAAATTCTACGAAGTTCCTTTAACTTTTACGAAGGATCCTTAATTAGCACAAACTTTCTTGAGCTTATACTCAGTTCAAACAAAGCTCCCTGAACATCTTTCCAATCTATTGATCAAGTTTGAGCCTCTATGAAGTTCCCTGAACTCATGGGAAGTCTGCAGAAATCCCTCGAAGGCGATGCTCTCGAGCTGGTGTCCGGTCAACTGCTTCTTCCCGAGTCGATTCCAAGGGTCATCGAGAAGCTGCGTCGGCACTACGGTTGTCCGGAAAAACTGCTCCAGAATCGACTGGACAAAGTTAACCAGTTGGAGCCTCCAAAGCCAGACAACCTGAGGAGTTTCGTTCCTTTTGGGAATATGGTGGAGCAGCTCTGCAGTCATCATCAGTCAACATCTCGCCAACCCGGATCGCCAAGCTTCCGGATCGTGAGACGCGTGAATGGGTCCGGTACAAGAGAAGCAAGGAAGAACCAACGTTGTGAACACTGACGTAGATAGTCGAGGACGCCTGCGAGGCAAATGTCGACATGGAGTTCAAGCTGGTGTATCAGCCCAAAGGTGAGCCACCAACCGGGAAAAAGCAGCCGATGGAGAAAGGTGCGTTGTACTACAGCGAAGTGAATAGTTCGGGTGCCAATCGGCCGGAAGAGGATAAAGCCGTGCAATTTGTGTGATAGCTCAGAACATCGTCTTCGACACTGCGCAAACTTCAAGGTGCTGTCGTATGCTGACCGACTGAAGCTGGTAACCTGCGAAAAACTTTGCAGCGTGTGTTTCAACGATCATATGGTGGTCAGTGCAAATTTAGGATTTGCTGTAACATGATGATACAAGGAGCTCCACAATCCGTGGGAAACGGTATCGGAATGAGTGCTCATATCCGGTCCAACTGTACGGTAATGTTCCGGATGCTTCTGGTGCAGTTGTACTGTGGTGGAAAGTCAATCTCGGTTTATTGTTTATTGTTGTTTTACATCAACAGGCTGGATGAAGCCCCAATGATGTTAACCTTATCAACTATGGTAAAAAGAAAAATACATTCAAGCATGGTAATTACATAAAAAAACATTAAAAAACATATATCTTATAGTCAGTTACTCCTGCCAGCGAAAAACAGAAGACAACTTTCGACGAAGCGCATCACGGGAGAGATGAAAGTCGAAAACAGATGCAACTCTGTTGAATGTTCTCTGCAGTCCGCAAATCGCTCCATAATTTCTGCGACGTAGAGGCAGTCTTAGCATAAGGTTATTACGAAGCGGTCGGGGTTGAACATTTAGGTCAATTTGCCTCAGGGTAGCCTCGCAATCTGTCCTTCCTTGCAGGATATCGGCCACGGTTAGGGCTCTGCTGGTGTCTCTTCTAGTCCGGAGAAGTTCTAGGTCGATAAGTTGACAACGGCTTTCGTAACTGGGTAATCGAAACGGATCATTCCAAGGCAATCTACGCAACGCAAAACGAAGAAAGCGACGTTGAACAGATTCAATTCTCTCGGCACCGTTGTTGTAGTTTGGGTTCCAAACCGCTGAACAATACTCAAGCGTCGATCGAACAAGCGAACAATAGAGAGATTTTAGACAGTAGATATCAGTGAAGTTTTTAGCTATCCTAAAAATGAACCCTAAAGTTCTTGACGCCTTATCAACAACATGTGCAATGTGTTGCTTGAATGAAAGCTGCGAATCCAAGATGTTGGCCACAACAACGAAATAAAACTCAGTTTTTTAGCGAAAATTGTGACCGCGTCGTTTAAAAGTTCACATACGAATGAAAAAAGCTTCTTCTCTACAAGCAGCCACGATATTAGTGTAGACTTCTCGACTGCTACGGCAAGTCCAGTGATGCCGGTGGGATGAGGGGTGAGCCGATGTACGTTGTATCTCCAACACTCCTCCTCAACGTATCGGCTGTTCTATGCTGACGACAAACCCAGAGATTCACTATGATTCACCAACTTCAATATGCCGAGCGGTTTCGTGAATAAGTCCGCTGTATTCCGCTCCGACGGGCAATACTGCATCTTCACATCTCCACGATCGCAAACATCCTTCACGAAGAACTGACGTGTCTCTATATGCTTGGATCTCTTCGACGTCCGACCAGCACTTACAAAGGAAATACACCCCTGATTGTCTTCATTTATGATGGTGGCACTGTTCTGTCCTTCGTCGAAATCCCGTAGTAACTGCCGAAGCCACACCGCTTCCTGGCACGCTTCGCTGAGTGCAATATATTCAGCTTCCATTGATGATAATGAAACGCATGTTTGCTTGCGACTGCACCAAGTAATTGCACCACCGCCATACAGAAAAACGTAACCAGTCGTAGACTTGCGTGTTGTTGAATCACCCGCCCAGTCAGCATCAGCAAAACCCAGCAAGCGGTGATTATTTCCATCAAAAGTCAACTTTGAACTGCTCGTTGTGTGCAGGTACTTCAGAACTCTTTTGGCTGCTGACCAGTCCGCTTGTGTAGGAGAACTTACTTTCTGTCCGAGGATCGACATACTCACAGCGATGTCCGGCCGGCTGTTCACGGAAACATAGAGAAGAGCCCTCCACCAAACTTCGGTAATCACTGTCGCCTTCAAGAGGTTTGCTGCTTCCTGCATCCTTCGCGAATCCCGGATCCATCGGCGTCTTCACTGGTTTCGAGTCTGAAAGGCCATACTTTCCAGCAAGGTTCTCAATATAACCCTTGAGGCTAATTGAGTACCCTCCATTTTCAACAGCTATCTCCATTCCCAGGAAATTGCGAAGATCTCCCAGCTCGGTTATCTCGAAGTGCTTCTTCAGCTCACGGTGAACTCCTTCAATATGCTTTCCATCTTCACAGGCGACAAGAATGTCATCGACGTAAATCAAGACATAAATCCGCTTTCCGTCAACGAATTTAAAGTACAGACAGGGGTCTGCTCATCCTTGCTGGAATCCTGCTTGAACTAAAACCTCGTGAATACGTTTGTTCCAGCAACGCGCTGACTGCTTCAAACCGTATACACTCTTTCGCAAGCGGCATACTAATTTCTCCTTTCCTGCAGGTACGAAACCGGGTGGCTGACGCATATGAATTTCCTCCTTCAAATTGCCGTATAGATAGGCCGTCTTCACATCCAGGTGTTTGAGTGACATGTTGCGATGAGCGGCTACAGCCAGAAGCGTACGAAGTGTTGCTTGTCTTGCAACGGGTGCAAAGGCTTCATCGTAGTCGTAGCCGTAACGTTGGCTAAATCCCTGCGCCACTAATCTCGCCTTGTATTTAACAACCTCCCCAGAAGCGTTCCGTTTAAGCTTAAATACCCACCTGCAACCAACGACC